CTTATACATACCTAAGCTGTGTAAATCTGAGCAATATGCCCAAGGTAGCACTATGCTAGTGATGTGCAACCAAGAAGAAATTCAACTAACATTGGTGAAAAATGTTTAGCCACACTTAATTCACAGTTGCTCTTCATGTTAGGAGATACAAATCCAGCTGTGTATCTGAATGGAAACAGGGCTGATTGTTTCAATGTATGTTATTAGCCACTTTATTAAGTGAATGGAACTCAGCAAACTGGGGGGGCCTTCAGTGTAAGTAAATGAGTGAATAGTGCAGAATTATGTGGTGTTCAAACTAATTGTAGAGCAAGAATGAAAACTGAATTAACTAGAGGCTGTGTGTGTGAAGTGACCTGGCCACAGATGTGGATGTTGGCACCAGCAACCACTCTTATCTTACAAACAGCTCACCTGCTCTTGGCTGTATTCTCATCTGCTTTCCCAGTGCATAAACTATGCACTGTGTAAACTCGCCTACTATGAGTGTCATCATCTGTAGGATTAGGAATACTATTAATTACTGATTACATTCAGTCCTCAGTTTACTGGTGGCTGGTGAATTCCAAAGGCTGGCCCAGAGAGTGCATTCATTCCCCACCCCTGTCTGAAGAGTTGGTGAGCTACCAGTGTCTGCTACTATGTTATTCCCTGGAAAATCCTATCCACCTCTGTCTGGGAGTGCTTCAGAATCTCAGCAAAGCACCACGTGTTGCTGAGAATAACCCTGTAAGGGCATGGGGAAATAATAGCAAATTAGTTGAGGTGTGTCCTATTCTTCATCAGTGCTGTGGTCCTGCAAATGAGAAGAAAGGAATTTTTAAAGATACTGGGGAGAATGCAGACTGGCCATCTGTTAAAGGATTCACAAACCATAGCTGCACGTGAAGCATGTCTTCACTGATGTTTTTAATTCCCTTGGAGCAAGTTCTTTGGGAAATTATGGCATCTTGGTCCTTCTCAGCATCTGACACTAAGGGTAAAAGAACCTATATTCTGATAAAATTGAAGTGGAGAAATCCAAATAAAAAGCCAGTTTCCAAAAGTAAAGTTTTATTGCAGCCGTTTGATGCACAGCTAGTTTTTTGGAGGTTTTTTTGCTCCTAATTTATTGGTGAAGTCTGTATGTGCTGTCACATGGCTTTTTTTCACTCGTGGTTATTTTTTCATTGTTGATCTTCTCAGAGAGGGTGATAGATCTGTGTGTTCAGTATGACTGACATAAAGGATGTTGTTTACTACACCTAGCCCTGACAGTCTAAATATTGGATGACTGCATTAAACTAAGCTTTGCTGACTGGAAGAAAGCCTGGGTGCTTAGAGGATGACTCATCTGTGCTGTGCACACATGAGCTGTTGGCAGCAGGAAGGGATGGATGCTTCCTGACCCATCTGCCCAGCCTAGGCTCAGGCCTGCAACCAGCAAGACTACCTAGCGTGGGTGGCCAAGTTATCTTGGGCTGTGTGTTTCATTTTTATTGGCACTAGTCAGGATGGGAAAGCTGTTAATTTAGGGCTTAGTTTAAGGCTCCAGTCAGTAGTTGGGGTTTCCATAGATTCAAGAGGGTTGGTCCATCCTTTGGAGTCTGTTAAAAACCAAACAACTAAGTTGGGAACTGGGGACTAACAAACCCTTCCTAATTTCTGGAGCAACTGATGTAGATTACACTCAAGAATGTAGAGCTGGGTTGTTAGTCTGTCTTCCTAGTGAGTTTGAGTTTTTCTACTGTAAAGAGCACAGAAACATAAGGTCAGCAACTAAAGTGTAATTCTCACTTTCCCTGTTTTTGCTGAGAAGGTAGAATGGTGTTTTATGTCTGATCTAACACTGAAAATTTGTTGCTGTGCACCTTCTGCTTAGCCTGTTTTATGGCTTTATCAAGCTAAAAGCCTTTTGAAGTTTGTGGGTCGTTTTTCTTCTTCATATTGTATGTTATTTCTAAATAAATTAGCTTCTAAGCTAATCTGTCACAGATTTAATTATGGTACACAATCACGAGGGAGTTGCTTTTTTCTGTACCGAGTAAATAACTTTATTGAATAAAGAAAACTGTTATGTGCTTATTTCGAGTTTGGTCTTCCTCTTTCCTTGTTTCCCACTGTTGCTTGCTCCAGCATTTCTTGCTAAATGGTTGAAGAACAGGAATAAAGGATGAAGAATAGCTGTGTGTATCTGCCACGACTGTAAGAGCTTTATGACACCCTAAGTGTGGCAGAAGTGTTTTCTACACTTTGCAGAATGGGAGGTATACTGTAGTGTCTTGAATTTGTCCTTCATGCTGTACCACTCACCACCGCCTTATGTCGAGAACAGAGATTTGTGATAACTGTTTTCTTTTACCTTTTCTCCTTGTAATTCTTTCCTCCTGAAGTCTTAGCATTTGGAGATGAGCTTCTTCGTGTTGATGCTTCTACTCTGCTCACAGAGGTATTATTAAGAGAGATTCATCTGTGCCCAGCAGCACTTCCTTGCTGCTATTTTTTTTGAACCCCTCTTTTCTCTGCTTGATTCTAGTGTAGCTTTGTCATATTTTCGGTGGTGAAAGGTTCAGGATCATTCCTTACCTCACTTTGCTGACAGCGTATGAAGCCATGCTTCTCCCATTTGTAGCTTGCTCTGTAACATCCTTTAGGTAGGAATGATTTTGGGGATAATAATAAAAGTTGGAGTATTCTTATTCTCAGGATTTGCAAGACCTTTGTACAGAAGTTTCATGGATGCTGTTCTGTATGGGCGCTAGGAATAGTTGAAAGGGAATTGGTGAAAATAGTGCTGCTTTTCCCCCCAGTGTGGGGAAGCTGTTTTCTCTTTTTGTAGGCAAGTTTTTTTTTTTTTTCTGCAAATGTAAAAGGTTCCTTCTCTTCAGGTAAACCTGTTCGCTGAGTTGTGTTTCCAATCTGTGGGATGGTTGGCTACATCCTACTATCTTGTGGAGAGGGATACCGAAGAGTTTAAGCCCAGGAATCTGTACTAGCTTTGTTTTTGGTAAACGTGATGACAAATTTATGTACCTGCATGGCTAGGTGCAGAATTTCCAAAAGCATTAAGCCCTCTGCTGTTCTTTTCTCCTCCTTTTTTTTTTTTTTTTTCCTCTTCCTCTTGCTGTTTTTTTTCCCCATCTTAAAAAAACAAAGTAGCATAAATGGTCTATGCTATAGAAATATGTTTGTCACACACTCTACATCACTTTGAACTGCATAACATCAAAGAAAATCAGTGCTTTGATAACTTGATTTGAAAGGATTGTAGAAATAGCCATCATTATGAATCACAACAGATAAGAATGGTAAGGATGGTGATTTTCCAGCAGCAAAGATTGTAAGCTCAGGGAAAATGTGAGGTGGGTGTCAGTGCTGCATTCTCATTTAAAAAAAAAAAAAATCCAAGTACAATTGTTGTGTAGCTTTGCAGAATATGGTTGACTTGAGGGTATGAGGAAGATAGGGAAATACTCCATGTAAAAATTTGTTTCTGAGAAACAAGGAAACAAGCACGGGTGCAGAGAAGTACTGGAAAAAAGGAGAATTGGCTGCATGGATAGAAACTTCTTTTTATAAAGCCACCCTTCCTGAAGAAAGCAAACCCTGAAGTTTCAGAGTTTGTGTACCAAGACCCTTTTTACTGCAGAGCCCTTCAGTTCTGGGCTGGATGTAGTCCTCTGAGAGCAGGAGGAGAATGTACTTCTGTGCTTTGTCATTCATCTCTCCAGGAAGGTGTTCATAGACTGGAATAAGTTTCTGGCTCCAGGAGATGGCAGGAAAGAATGTCTAAATAGTGCCTTCTCATCTGTGGATATTTTAGCTTCGGATGGTGACAATTCAAATCTAAGAAATTAGAGTTTAGCATATAGTTGCCTTCAGCCTAACTAATGGGAGCTAGATTGCTAAGACAAACCAGCAGCTTGTGGAGCGGCAGGGAATGAAATTAGTGTGTACTATCCCATCCTCATTCCCTAGAAAGTAAATGTTGGCTAATGGGGAACATTTATAGAAGTTTTGATGGTATTTAGCTGGGAGGCATCAGTCTCGTTCAGTTGTAGTTGTACTGCTTGGACTGCATCACCTGGTCCAAACAAATTGAGCTATAAAAAACCTATGTGTTATTTAGCGGCTTGTTTCACCCAATGTGAGGGGATTGCTGTCTGTAATGAATGCTACTGCTGGAGTCCATTGGGGTATCAAGATTCATGCTTCTGTGCTTTTTCATGATAAAAGAAGTATCTAGAGGCAACTTAGAGAAGGAGAAAGATTTAGACCTTTCACCACTTCTTTTTACCATGCTGGTACTTGAGATACTCTACTGAGATACTGCTGACACAAACGTACGCACTGAGGACTTGCATCTATTTAGCTTTGGAAGGAGGAAGAAATGCTATCTTTTGTATAGTTCTTCATCTTGCTCCTGAGCAGAAGATGGGTAGTATTGTTTCTTTTACAGAGGAGGGGGTTGGGCTCTTCTCTCAACAGTGATAGAATGAGAGGTAGTGGCTTTAAGTTGCACTATGGGAGGTTCAGGTTGGGTATTAAGAAAAACTTCTCAGAGTGGTGAGTTATTGGACTGAAGAGGTGGTGGAGACACTGTCTCTGGAGGTGTTCGAGAACTGTGGAGATATGACACTGAGAAATATGACTTATTGGGCAGTGATTCTTTGTTGTTTATGACACTGTCATTTATATGCCTACTATCTCAAAGTTGCTCTTCTGCCTTTGTTTCTTGAGAAGCTAAGTACTCTTTGCTCTCTGAACTATATTCTACACACTCAAGTTAGTGAAAGTTTTTTTCAGCACTTGACAAAGGATATACTTATTTCACTGTTTCTAAGGAAAAAGATGGTGATTGTGGAGTTCTTGTTTGTTTGCTGTTAATGTGGAGGTCGGTTGGTTTTGTGTATTTTTTGTTTAAATGACCTCAGAAGAAGGAATAATTACTTTCCTTACTGTGTCCTGAATCTGCACCTCTGGCATACTGTACAAACCCAGTCTTTTCCTCTCTCCTTCAGGCTGTCAGCGCTCCATAGGCTTGTCCAATGGCAAAGCCAAGGTGTGTAGTTACAGTGGCTGGTATTACTGCTGTACCTGCCATGTGGATGACAGCTTCCTCATTCCTGCAAGGCTGGTTCATAACTGGGATACTTCCAAGTACAAGGTAATCTCCCTGTAAGTTGATTTACTAGTGAGTGAACTGAATTGCTGTTTCTATCTGAACACAGACATTTTACTACATGTTGAGGGTTAAAGGCATTATCTGCTGATAATATCTGCTTTGACTCACTTGCCAGAAGACCCTAGCCTGACAAGTCCATGTACTCTCAAGATGACAGATATGTTCATCACAGTTTCCTCAGCCAGACCTATGCAGCTTCTCCAGAGGAGCAGCTGTTCTCCTCTTCTTGATAGTGTCTTTTCCATCATTGCTCATCTAGTTGTTCAAGAGACAAGGAGAGTCAGAATGACTGATTGAGGCTACAGGTTGGTAATGCTTAGTGATGGATACTAAAACTGTCAAAATCTTGCTGGAAACAGGCTTAACCTGAAGATGATATTTGTAGAAGCCCAGTATGTCTCATCTCATGGCACAAACATTTCCAGAATGCCAGGACATTGCTGTAGCACTTTTTTGGGCTGGGCACTTGAAAATAACATGAAGAGAAAATTCTACTGTTGTTTACTTGCCACACAAGCTGCTTTTCTAAAACTTCAGTGATCTGCTGTTGCTGCTGCCTTAGTGGTTGGTTACTGTATAGTCGGAACTGATTACATGCCTCCAAGTATTATGCCAAACATATTAGCTGTGTTGTTTTGCAGTAACAGAGGGCATGTGCTGAAACAACAATGAACTCATAAGGAAACCAGATTATACTAGAACTTCAAACCTAGCAGCCACTGTTAGGAGAGGCTGTTTGATGTTTTGTGTCTGCGAATATTATTATTATGGGCTATTTGAAAAGGAAAAAAATAACCGGTAAATGCCCTATTAGAGGAAAAGCAGCTCTCTTGAGGAGGAAAATTTGACAGAAGTGAAGATTATTAAAAGGTAGCCGGAGCCTGCCATCAGGAAAATGATAGTCTTGAACCACAAATTGCAAGATTTCTCAGAGCTACAAAGCTCTGATATGTGGAAACAAGAAAACCCAAACCCTCCCTTTCCTGGAAGCCAGGAATAAATATTTAAGAATATTTTTTTATGCCTTTGCCAAAGACTAAACTTGCTAGGCTTAGGGCATTATAAGGAGCCTTCATATGGAACAGGTAGATGGTAAGGTAAGGAGAACTTATATCAATGTGTCAGTGATACTGCCAAGAAAATAAACTGGTTAGGTTTCTAAGCTTGAGGGGTGAAAATTATGCTCTGTGCTCTGTTTCCTATGGTTTAAGTGTGAGCAGCTGAGGAGAGAAATAAAATAGAACTGGAAGCTTAAGTTTTCTTTGAAAGTCTAACATACTGCAACTCTTACAGTGAGAAATTGTTTTGCATTTTGTCTAAACATGTGTAAGGTGGCTTGAGATCACAACCAAATTCTATGCCAGTCTGTACTTTGTCAGTTTCTGTGCCAAAACACTCAGAGATGAATTTAAGAAAGGAAAACCATTCCTTAGTTTGGAAAACGTGACAGCATCTCCAACTATTAGGGGGAAGTGAAACAGGGAGAGAAGGTCAAGGGGTCGTTATGTGCCACAGTAGCAGTGTCAAAACTGAGCTGAGATCACCAGCTGGATCTCTTCAGCTCCACTTTGTCCATGTATGGGATTAAGTTAACACATTGCTGTTGTTACTTCTGGGAAACCTCTTGGATTTTTTTCCTGTTCTGTTCAATTCCACATAAACATGCTTTTACAAGCATGTCCTTGCTCCATGCCCATGTTGACTAAACAGTGCTTTTCGGAGGTGGGCCGCATATTGCCTGCACTTTCGCCTCCACATCTCCTTCTGCCATTCAGGAGCAAGGTTCAAAGTTCCTTTTTTCTGTATGGTCTGAAAGGTGCTTAATATTGGTAATGAAACGGTATGATTCCTTAGCAGTGTATTGATTAAATGTGCTGATTTGGCAAAGGCAGAGATGTTGTCCCACTTCCTTGAGGTGATCTTGGTAGTAATAATTTCCTATGGGGTCAATTTTAAATTAGAACACTTAATTAGTCAGCATTTCACTTCTGATAATTGGCCATTGTACCCATATAAAGCCATGTGGCAACATTCCAAAGTGAATCTTAGCAACAGATCTCCTAAAGCCAGAGCCATGGCCCTCGCAGGTAGTGCAGCGATGTCTGAAAGTAGAGCTGCTGCAGTGGGTGCCTTGTTGTTCCCCGACGGACATAGCACATAAATAGCTTAAATAACACATCCCACAGAGGAGGTGAGTGGATTAAGCATGCACCACATTTGATAGTCAGAGCTGAAACAGGGCTTTAGTCTTCAAAGACGTTGTATTGCACGCGGACTAAAATGTGCCTAGCATTTTACTAAATGGAAGGAAACTGAATGAAGAATTTGAAAAACTGCATTCTTTCCCATGCCTTCCTGGTGCCTTTTTTTCCTTTTTTTTCCCTCTCAAAGAGGTTTCTGGTATCTGTCATACCTGTCGAAGGAAAACAACCAGCAGCACATACTTTAGCACGTAGACTTTTGTGGTGATATAATGTAATTGGACATGTTTCTCTTCTGTGTTTCATGAAGTCCCGCTCAGCTGAGTACTATTTTGCATCAGTTAAGTAAGTTTTGTAAATGGTTCTTGTCTCGCTTTTGGCAAGACAGGACGTGAAAAAAGCAGAAGCAATAGAAATCTGTTAAGTTGTCTTCTCTTACCACATTGAAAAACACCAATGCACTTAATACCTGAAAGCACGTGGATAAGAAAAATCCCCTTCGATGCAGTAAAAGCTTTCAAAGGACTTGCTGGGTAGGCATGTGTCTCTTGTCATAACCAAGCAGCAATTCAGTCCTCAGGTACACTTTTTTTCTTCTTATCTCCCTGCAGTTTTCCCTATTTGTGTTTTTCATGCTTTTGTGAAGGAAAAAGAGGTAATCTGGTGAAAATGCCTTCCTTTTATTTATGCCAACTGTTTTCCCTGCTTAGATGCTAGTAAGTTCTGCAGTTTGGTTTCAGGTAGGTTCCAGCCTGTGAAAACAGGCAAGCATAGCAGGAAGAATCATATAAGTGAACTGTCTGTGCCAGAAGGTCTCAAGGAAGGCTGGCTTCTGATAAATGGAGTTCTGAACAGTAAATTTGCAGCCTGTAGAAAAGTCTGGAAATGTTAATATCCACCCTTCTGTGGTTCTTGAAATTAAAATTGTTCTATTTGCCCTGTATCATTCATACTGGCTTGTCCGTGTGTATTCTGTCCAGTATAACTGAGGTAATGTGAGCATGGTAATATGCATACAAGTATATTGGCCAATAACAATGTGAATTACTATGACTGCCTGACCATTCTCATTATAAGGTTGCATTTTAGTGTCCTGCAACTTTGCTATACTCGGTAATGTTTTACAGACGTGCCTGTGTCAGGCATGCACAGAAAAACAATGCATCCCTGTCAGCTGTTGATGCTGGGCAAAGCTGTTTTTTCCTGTAATCAGTGCTCTGCAGGTACGTTGTGTCAGCAAGGAGAAAGGTTTGCTTTTCTCCCCTCAAAGGCTGTGCTCAGGCTGTGCAGCACTAGAGCTGAACAGTAGTAATATTTGGTCCTCTGGGATTGTGGTTTGTACAATAAAAAGGGCATAGGGCTACGTGTTGAGCGATGGAGAGGAGCTGCTTTTTGTTCGGCTCTGTACTAATATGAAGTAGAGCTTCTATGAGGAGGGGAAAAATAGGTAATTTTAAATTTTGTGTTGTAGTCCATATGTATTGCAGTCACACAGGTGACTGTGGATCTGGTGCTGCTTTTGTTTCTGTTTTCTTAAAGTTGCAGCCTCAGGAAAGCTCCCCTGTTCAGGGTGAAGCTGCTCACAGACATGGGTGTAGCACTGGGACAGTCATCTCTCCATGATTCCTAAGTCAGGAAGACCAGTGGATGAGGAAATCTCAAAGACTAGAGAGACAGTACTGAGTTGAATCCCTCACCCTTTGCTTGGGGGGTGCTACTTGCTCTACCAAGCATTCATGTGCCTCCTAGTGTATCACTGAATACGTAGCTTAATTTTCCCATTGGTGGATGCGGAATAATATTTACTCTACGCTAGGTACCGTGGTTGTCAGGAGATAATTGAGGTATTGCGGCCAAATCGTTTAATGATTATAAAAGCAGAAAGTAGTTGTTTAACTTTGGTCTCTTTTGTACACCGCAGTTACTGCGTCTAAAAAACATTAACGATGCTAATGTTTGAAAATTTGACACAATTATAGAGTCTTGATTTGTAAAATCCAAGTTGTCTGTACACAGCATGTTTCTTGTGCTTCCATTCAGATGGCACAATTCCTTGTATATGCATTGTTTTGGAAAAAAGATGAAAAAGAAATGAGTGCTTAATAGAAATAGAAAGTCAGCTGTTTGATATAGCTTCAGGACCTGGGAAATCTGACAGGTTATAATCTACCGTATTTCAAATTACCTTATTATCTGTGTAGTTATTGGTGGTAATGTTGTCCTTGACATCATTATTGTACTTTATTGTGCATTGTGAAAAGGTTATATTTAAAACTAGTTCTCCTTAGAGTGATGCCTTTTATTAGGATATGCAAGGGCTACACTGAAAGTAATGCCTCCTATTTTATTATGTTGGCCCACAGTGTCAGAGACAGATAGATGGTGGTATGGCTGTAGAGACTGAACCCTCCCACCAGTTTCCCATTACGCATTGTTACTATGTGACATTTGTCAGCATAGGGGCAGTCTGACAAGATGGTGTTTGACACGGAAGTGCGTATGAAGCAAAGGTGTGTCACTGAATTCCTTCATGTGGAAAAAATGGTACCCACTGACATTCATCAATGCTTGCTGAACATTTATGGAGACCAACGAGTGGATGTGAACACAGTGCATTTCAGCAGTGGCGATAGGGACCAGAAAGACAAGCCACACTGTGCAGAGATGGCCGTGCACATCTGTCCCACCATGAAAGGAAGCGTTTCAATCAAGTCATTCCTGTAAATCAGTAAATTACAAACAAGGAACTGTGTACTGAGCTGAGTATTGGCTTCAGTGTTTTGGAAATGATGGTGGAAACATTTGAATATTGCAAAGTTTGCACCAAGTAGGTTCCACAAACACACAGGAACAGAAATAAGACCTTACGCAAGTTTTTAGGACCTGTTGAACCAATCTGAGGCTGAAAGTGACAGTCTCCTAGATTACGTAATTGCTGGTGACAAGACATGATGTTACCACTGTGAACCAGTATCAAAACAGCAGTCCCTAGAGTGGTGCATGTGAATTCCATATCGAAGAAAAAGTTCAAGGCACAGTTCTTAGTGTGTGAAGTGATGGACGCGGTCTTTCGGGATAGGAAAAGGGCAGTTCTTCTTTGTTTCCTGGAACTTGGACAAACCATCCACTCTGACTGGTACATCGCAGTAATGGCCAGGCTGATCTTGAACTTCCAGAATCAGGGTAGATGAGAAGACAACCTTTCTCTTGCAACAGGATAACACCGGCCCCAAATCTTTTCGGAGATGGTGAAGTACATTGCTGGTGTTGGCTGGACTGTCCTGCCTTGACCACCATATAGTTTGAGTTTTTACCTTCTGACTTCCATTTGATGAACGATGGACTGCTAGGCAACATTTTTGTAGCAATGATGCCATTATGCAGCTGTGAAGTTGTGGGTCACCTGTGCTAGTGCAGATATTTACAAGGATAGCATATAGGCTCCTATTCATTGCTGTGAATCAAAAATGGTGATGGTTGTGATGAAAAATAGTGTTTTGTAGCTGAGAATTTGCTCTGTCAAGTAGTGTTGTTGTGATCCTTTGTTTCTATTGTGGTTTCCATGGAAATAAATAGGAGGCACTACTTTTGAAGTGACCTACATATATTGCTTTTACCAGCTTCCTGCCTTACAACACTGGTGGAGAAATGATGTCCTGTGTCTCAAGAGGCAGCGGTGTGCCATTTCTCCTTTCATTAATTTCACAGAAGATAGCATAGTTAGCCCTCCCTCAATTCAACAGTGCAAGCACTGATTTAAATATCCACAAGGACTAATTGATTTGTGGAACACACTGTTTCTATAGCACAGTTTCAAGTGATTTGCAGCTTATTTCAGATATCCCATCTTCTCTTTTCCAGCTGTGATAAAATGCAAAAATGAGACATGAGTGTTTTTCACTTCTCACCTCAGAAACAGGAATATCTCTTCTAGTGGGAATAAAACTCTCATTAATTTATCAGGATCACAGTAGCTCTTTAGAGGTGGAGATAGAACAAAGTACTCTCAAGAAACTGACATTTAAAAAATGTCTTGCAAATGAAACATTGCAAATGGGTAATACTGCTAACATTTAGATGTATTTATCCATAATTTAAAAAACTTTATAGTTGTGCTTTGGAGTTGTGTTTTTTTGTTTTTTGGGTTTTTTTCTACATTATTTTAGCTGCACTGGCTGAGCATGTAGCAAAGGCAGTAGAACTTTTTCTGGAGTTCTGTATCCTGGGACAGCACAGTATGATTGGATTTGCAGTGTGTGTGTTTCCTTTTCTGGTGTTGTGATTTGGCACTTACCTCACTCACTTGCTTCTTCCCAAAGGAAAGCAAGCATAAAAATATTAACGAGGAAGAAACTTGATGATCACAGTTTTAAGGCCTAAAAGTACCTGTAGTGAGCTGTATTATCCTGCAATGAAAATGTGTGGCTGCAAATATTGCTGTACTTTGGATAAGTAAGCAATTATCTCAGGCATTCAGCTTTGATGGGTTTGATGAAGTTTGAATTGGCTATAAGCAGAGACAGTTGGCTCTCTCTGAGCTCTGTTTTCATCTGTAGTTGCTAACAATAATATTTCAGATGCAGAAAATGGCTGACAAAACACAGAAGGGAAGATCTGCTTAAAAAGAAGTTACAAGGAAAGCTTGTCTAAACTGGTTGCATGTTTTTTCAGGTATCAAAGCAAGCCAAAGAGTTTCTGGAATATGTGTATGAGGAGCCACTGATTGATATCCAGCAGGAAAATCCCATGTTGTACAAGCACGTTGAATCTCTGGCAACTGTTGTCCGCCTGAGACAGCAGTTAAAATCTCTGCGAGCCTATTTGTTCAGCTGCAGAGCAGCAGTGGCTGAAGATCTACGTAGAAGGTAAGAACCACAGACATGTAACACAAAAGTATAGTTTTCTTGTTGTGTTGTTTTTTTTTTTTCCCTCCTCATAATCTAGTTCTGAAGATGTTACCCATTTAAAAAGGTGTTGTGCTTGGGTCTGATTTTGCTGGGCAGCTGGGATATCTACTGCCAAAGAAAATGGTTCCAATAGGTTTTATAGGGTCTAAGTATCTGAAGTTGTTCTCAACTCCTATTAGCCCAGGGGCCACACGTTGTGGTGAGCATTTTTTACTCCTGCTCAGGCTTCTTGATTTTGCACAAATATCTATTGGAAAATAGATAGTCACAGCACAGCAGAAAATGTTTCTCAGTTTAATAGTTCTGAATTCTTTCCTTGAAGGGAACAAGCTAAAAATGAACAATCTTCTTAAAACCTTCAAGACACAGTGGTGACCTCTAGGAGAAAAAAAAAAAAAAAAAGAAAAAAAAAAGAAAAAAAAAGGTTCATTTTGTCCTAGATTTTCTAAAGAGACGGGGAGGTAGCTATGGCTATGCTGTGTTGTGAGAAGTGGTTACAGGTATATGTAGCTGACCCAGTGGTAAATGCATCACTATGCATTTGTGAGTGAGACAAGTCTACAAATAAGAAAGCCACTGCTTTGAAATCATCAACTTCTGAAGGACAAGAAAGCAGGTGCCATCAGTGACTGTGTTTTGAGCATAATTTTTAGGGATGGTGGGGATCTGAATTCTTTGAGAGGAAGAGGAGACTCCCAGGCAAGTGTGAGGTGATGTCTGCCATTCAGTGGACAACTGTGCTGTTTCTTTGAGTAATCACATCAAGAACAATATAACAGCAGGTTTCTGGAGAGAGCTCTACTACTAAGTTCTTGCATCAGACCTGCTGGACTGTCAGTATGTGTTTGTATTCTGTACAGTCCCCATTATTTTACAGGGCAGCTCACAGCATTTTAAGAGTTAGGATGCTTTTTTTTTTTTTCCCTGTTATTTCAGACTATAGTATTATCATGCAGAGCTCTCTTACTCTTCAGCTACAATTATTTTCCTGTGCTATCCTCTTCAACTGCAATCAAACTGAAAGAGAAGAAGGTTTGTGAAGACTGCTGTTAAGAAAAAGTGGCAGAAAAGAAATTGTGTCCTCTGATTAATGGTGAAGAAAAAAATGCCCTAATTAAAATGGACAGGAGGAGTCAGAAAAGGCTGAAGGTACTTAAGTAAGAGAGCAAGAGAGATCAAAGAAGATCTAAACAGAGAAGTTTATGACCTGGAGACACAGGGATGATGGAAAGCCAGGAGAAGGAGATTTGAAGAGCCAGAGTTGAGGGAAGGAGATGATAAGGAAGAGAGATCTCAGGAAATGAAGAGTTAATAAAGAAATTGAATCAGAACTGAGGGGATGGAACTTGCCTCCAAAAACTAGAGGTGGCAGGTACTGGAGAAATGGAGAGAAGACAGAACAGACAAAAATTATCACAGAAATCTGTGCATGATCTTTTCTTGGGGTGACAGGCATGGGGAGAAACAGGGAAAAAAAAAATCACAGAAGTATCGTGATAAGCATCTAACTCTGATTAGGGAAAAAAAAAAAAAGAGAAGTAGCAGCAGCATGGGCAAATATGTCACCTCCTGTTTTGTGGCTGTACCTGAGTGATTGTTTTGGCTGGACATTACTGGAGGCTTGTTCTCTGTATCAGAATGAAACACCCAGGAAAGTAGGAGGGGAGGATGAAGCACATGCTCTTTTTTTTTTTATTTATGGGCTCCTTCACACTGTCTCAAATTAAAACTCTGTGATGGAGAGATAGGGTGAAAATATTAAGGCACTGATTTTGTACAAAGAAAGCATCTCTGATTTGGTGGGATTTGTTAAAAGCACTGTAAAAGTCACTGAAGGAATGTTTCAAAAGCACAAAATGCACCTTAGAGTTCAGCTTCTTCTCAGATTGTGAATTCTCCATTGCAGTGAGTTTTGGTGCTCGGTTGATTCTTCAGATCTCCTGAAAGATGTTTGCAGAAATGGAAAGGTAGAAAAGTCCTTTTCCCGGAAGCAAGAACTGCTCCCTGTGTCTTTATTTGCTACGTGTAGTATCACAGCTTGCAGACCCTCACTATCAATGTAATGGCTTTACAGAGCACAGCTGACAAGTAAATATGTCATTTTAATTTACCTTTGGTTCATCACGTGGGCTGGTTTTTAAAAAAGGAGTTTAGAAACAAAATGAAGAGACAGCATTCCTAAAAATAGTACCATTTCCGAGTTAGAAATGAAAGAAGGGAGGAGAAAATCCAGTTATCTATCTGGCTCAGAAAACATTATTTTTCTGCTTGGTCTTCACCTAGTATGTGAATGACTATTAATCACCAGCAAGTGAACACAGCATCTTGGAGACCTGTCAGACCCATATAAACAGACTGAAACAAACTGTTAATATTGCTGTCTAGGGAGAACTAAAAACAGACTGATTAATTGTATTGGCACCTTGCTGCCTTTGAGACACTAATAGAGCCTGCCTTTTTAGGGAAAAACGTATCACTCTGAGGTTTCTTTTATTAATACTATTTGCATTATCATCATCTTTAAATCTATACCTTGCTCTTGAACTCAGATCACAAAACGAAGATGGCAATGAAGTTGGAAACTCTTGATGTCCTCTGGGAAGACAAAACTGTTTACAGTGCTTACAAGTCATTTTTTATGAAGAATTCCAGATGGTTATAAACCAGGTTAACTTAGGATCCAGTTGGTTTAAATGTAGAAATGTTATTTATAATGCCTTGTGTGCAAAGATAGGTACTCTGTGAACTTTGTGAATCTTGGCATCTGGTAGGGTACTTAGGACTGGGCTTTGAAGAAGCAACTGACTAAGAAAGACTGGAAGAGAAAAGGGAAGGAAAATAGGAAAAGAAGCAGAAGAAATCCTAGAAGTAGCTAACAGCTTACAGTAAAACTGTGGTCATCATTATTTATAATGGTTTGTTTTCACCCATTGCTCCTCCAGATTTTGAACTTCTTATATTTACAAGGGGGGAAAAAAAAAAAAAAAAAAGAAAACTAGTGTCGTCTGAGAGGAGAAATAAGGCCCCCCACTGGTGCATATCAGCAGTGTTCCCTGGGGATTGGCCTGCTGAAGATACAAGCCAGTTGGTGAGCACCCTGTTTTACAAGAGATGTTGTTACGCCTGAAATGTTATGACCATCACTTCAACATTGCAACAGAAGTAATTTGCCTCAAATATCTTTAACAAGTTCTCACTTGTTTTGGTTGCCTTGCTTGGGTGGATTCTGTTCAGAAGTGTACAAGACAAAACCTGGAACCAACACTGATTTAGTACAAGTGGAGCTATACAAACCCCACCAGAGCTTCCAAGGTAGATGAATAAATGGCACAAGCAAACAAGATTACATCAATGAAGTGGATAGGTAGGAAAGAGCAAGAATCCCCAAGTCTATTGAATGATTAGATTATTCTGTGAATGGTGCGTTGTTCTGGTTTTATTTTCTTCTTTTCGTTTCAGGGTGTGAAACAAGCTAACTGTGTTCCTATGCCATAGTCTGTCTTCCTCTGTTCTTGTCATTGTTGAAGGCTCTTCTGGGCAAAGGCCTGCTAGAGTGACTTTTTTTTTGTGTGTGTGTGGCCTTCAGGTACTTCCATGTCTACTGTAGGGTAGTGTAACCTAGGTTTACTTTGGAGCACACTCTAAGCTCTCTTTTCTCTGAACGACACACCTGAACTTGCAGTGTTGGTAGCCCAGATGTTATAGACAGATGGCAGTGGAATGAGGCAAGAAACTCTGCAACAGATTATGCAGTACGTTAGTGCTCATTCTAATGTCCTCTGTTGTTCTGTGTATGGTGGTGAGAAACTAAATGGAAAATCTTCCCCGAGATCTGGATATGTTGCATGGTGTGTTATAAGAAAGCCAGATTAGAGCTTGTAGTTGCAGAAGGAAGTTAAAGGTACACCTCCAGTGCTGCACCCCCATGGTCCCAACTGAGCCTGCTGGTTTGTCAGCACAAAACGGAACAAGCCCAGATTCAGCTATGCTGAACAATAGAGTCCTGTCACTTCCTACAGTGTGGTCTTAGACATATCACTTCTGGCACAAGGATAGATTATTTTCAAAATATTTGTGTGGCACTTGGAGAACCTGTCTAAACACATCACAAAATTCCTGATTGATCTTATGCAATCACTATACAACCAAATACCTCACATATGTGAAGCTGGGGCTATGTCACATTGTCTTTCAGACCAAGAACAACAGAAGGTCGTTAAGTCATATTCAGACTGTCAAAAGAGAGCGTTTTTCACCATTTTCTCTGCACCCAGTAAGCCATTTGGAGAGTGGAAAATTCCAAAGCAAGGGAACAAAGACACAGCTTGTGAAAGCAATTGACTGTAAAAAGAAAATTTGAGAAGGAGAGCAAGAAAAGGATGTGATTTCATAGCACAGGGCTATGAGTTAAGTGAGAAAAGGAAATGTGTTGTTCAGGTGATTAGGAGAAGAGAGGGAGAGAAATACATTCAAAGAAGATATCTGGATATTCTGAGAGGATAAGATCATTTAGTTTTAAGACCAAATGACACCTGAAAGGAAGGAAGAATGAGAAAGCACAGAGAAAAATGCTTGTGCCACTATTTTATGTAGATACTGTGTGTATGTGATCATTGCACTAGTTAAAATGAAGCATGCTTGGAGCCCTTACAAACAGACCACCTCTTTGTTTCAATTCTTTTTGTTTGTTTGTTTTGAAGAAGTAACTGTGTTTGTGGGCTTCTTTTAAGTTAACACCCTAAAAATATATTTGGCTGAAATTGTGGAGGGCTCAGTATGAAGTTAAAGTAGATCTTGAGTTTTCATTTCAACTTTCTGGAGCAACAAGACTGCTGTCAGAGCAGCCGCAGGCAGAAGGCAGTACTGCAATCTGTTTAAGTCAAGGGTAAACTGAAAGCACTCAAGGCAGTGCTCTACCGTTGTAAGCATCCAGCTGAGGTGTGTGCTGAGAGAGATGA